TAATATTCTTATTATTAGTAGTAGTATTATTACTGTTACGATTATTGCCCTTAATCCCCTATGTAATCCTTATACAGCCACAAAAGTTGCAATTTTACAGGACCCCCAAACCTACCCCAGCTCCCAGCTCAGGGAGCTTAGGGGACTGGTAGGGATACATTTGATACAGTGATTTGTTGGAGGTTGACAGCATTGAGTTTAGGGTCTGGCGGCTTTGGGGCTTAGGATCTGTATCTTTAGAGGTCTATCTCTTGTCAATCTGTTCTGTCAGTCTGCCTCTGAGCCTGTCCCTGTCCTCTATGCTTATCTTTGCCTCTCAATCTCTCTGTCTTTCTCTCTCTCTCTCTCTCTCTCTCTCTCTCTCTCTCTCTCTGTCTCTCTCTCTCTCTCTCTCTCTCTCTACCTCTGGTTGTCGACGAGCTTCTGAAACCTCTCGGGCAAAAAAGGCTCAGTCAAACTCCCAAGGTCTTGACGCCTTTGAACCCTTTAAGCTTCTTCAGCCTCTTCTTCGTGAATAGAAGGGTGAAACCCTAGAGCCCTCCACCAAGTTTATGGCCGTGAGCTGGGTTACCGTGGCCCTTTGCCAACAGTGGTGTGAAGGTCTTGCAGTGAGTGAAACTTTCGGTGTTTTCCCTACACCTGCCGACTCAGGAGGCAAGAGGCTGCTGGAGCAAACGCGACCTCACCGGACAGGCGCACCGACTCGCCACACGGGTTGAAACGCACCGCAGCTGTGGCTTGGGGGACTGGGCGTTGAAGTGATTCCTGAGGACATCAGCCTTCTTCTGCATCCAAGCACCAGCACTCACATATATACAGGTGTGAGACGTGACGCTTTGCTGGCGCGGTGGGGTTGGGGCGGTTGGGGTTCGGGGCGGAGCTTGCCCCTGCCAAAACCAACCCTCAACCGAAGAAGATCAAGGAATGGAGGAGGATAGCTGCAAGGTGCCTTCCTTCTCAAGGCAACCTGAGGCTGCTTCTGCTTTCCTTCAGCAGGCGTCACCTTGCCAGCTTGCTCGCTGGAGCGGACCTTGAGTCTAAACGCCCTCAACCCTAAACCCTACACCCTAAACCCTAAACCCTAAACCACGTAAGCCCGAGAGATTGATGGCCGGCCGAAGGCGATCCTGGGTGGAAGCCGCCCGTGAGTTCCACGCGACAGCCGCAGCCGATGTCCTGCGCCTCGGAGTCATCTCGGGGTCGCAATAATTACTAATACTGGGTAGCCCGGTGGTACCCTTTTCCCTTTTTTTGGTTCAAGGTTCCCTTATAGAATAACTAACCCAAAAAGGGTGCCCTTGTTAGAAGATGGTCACTGGGCTACCAAGAATAGTATTCCCTTATGGCCCCTTTGTTGTTATACTGGAATTACCCCCCAAAACCCCTATTCTAATTATTCAGGCCCCTATAGTAACTCCGTGTGGGGCGTAGGATCTGGCTTACTGGGTATGGATCCTCTGTATGTTGCCTTGTTGGGGCTTAAGCGGAAGCTATTCAGGAATATCTTTTCGGAGGGTTAACGGGCCATCCTGGCTTAGTAGCCTTGGCCCAAGTTGCTTCAAATGCTGACACAGAAGCCCAACAACCCCAAACTCAGCATCGCGGATCGTTTGCGGGTCGGCCGGTTGGGCGGCCAGGTGAAGCTGTTACCCTGACAGAAAGTGTAGAACGGTGACAACAACTACAGAACAGTGACAAAAACAATCATTCGATCACGCTTCCAACCTCAACAGTTTGCTTGAGGCCTCCTCAGGCCGCTTAGGTGCAGTGGCCTAAGACCTCCTAAGAGGCACATCTCAGGGAGCTGGCTCAAGGCCTCTGCCGGCCGCTTAGGTTCACTGGCCTTAGATCCCGAGGGCCTAGGTTGCATGCCGAAGCGAGCATGCGCGCAGGCTCGGCACTACTTGCTTACATTCAATTTGAGCTGAGCTCCATTCTGAGCCGAGCTTCCTTCGATCATGACCGCAAGGTGATGGACCTGGATGCTGAGCCTTCGCCGAAGCGAACATGCACAGAGGCTCAGCACAATCCCTGTGTCCGTGTGGCGCCTAAGTTTGTTATGTTTGTCATGGCTCTCTCCAGGTGATGGACCTGGATGCTGAGCCCTTCCCGAAGCGAACATCCACAGAGGCTCAGCACAGTCCCTGTGTCCAATAGGTGCCTAAATTTGTTATGTTTGTCATGGCTCTCTCCAGGTGATGGACCTGGATGCTGAGCCCTTGCCGAAGCGAACATCCACACAGGCTCAGCACAATCCCTGGTGCCTAAATTTGTTATGTTGGCTTTATCCAGGTGATCGACCTGGATCCGAAGGCCTTTTGAGTTAAAATTGAGGTTTTCTGGGCCTGGGAGGGTCCTGCGGGCCCGTTTGAGTTAAAATCGAGGTTTGCTGGGCATTCAGAGCCTGAATTTGACTCGGGGCTGCAGAAGTTTTCTGGGCCCCAGCTCAAGCGGCTAGGGGAGCTGCTCGGAGGGCCGCATGGGAGGGTCCTGCAAGCCCGTTTGAGTTAAAATCGAGGTTTTCTGGGCCTTTAGAGACTGAATGTGACTCGGGGGAGCGGCTGGGAGCTGAGGGCCGTGTGGGAGGGTTCTGGGGGCCTGTTTGAGTCAAAATTGAGGTTTTCTGGACCCCAAAACCTGAATTTGACTCAAACACGGCTGGTCCTGGTTGCCCATTTGACGGTATGCTGGCCCCAAAGCCTCATGTGCACTCAGGAGCTGCTCGGAGGGTCCTGGAGCCAAACCAACTGAGGGCGCTGCGAGGCTGCTTGAGGGAAAACCGAGGTTTTCTGGGCCGCAAAGCTTGAATTTTGACTCAAACGGCTGGGGGTGCCCGTTTGAGAAAAAATCGAGGTTTCTGGGCCCCAAAGCCTGATTGATGTGGACTCAAACGGCTGGGGGAGCTGCTGGGCCCCAAAGCCTCACTCAAACGGCGGGGGAGCTGCTCGGAGGGGTCCGTCCTTGTTCGTGTCTCTCTGTGTCTTTCTGCTGCAAACTAAACGAATGCTGCAAGGCTCCCTTGAGTGGATCTACCAGATCGCCAACAACGGAGGCTTTTTCGACGCAGCGGGATTTGCTTTCAGGCATTTTATCTGCTTTGTTTGCAGGTTACGTCTCTGGCCCCTGACACCTCGAGCATGTCCTCGGAGGAGAATTTCACCGAGGCCACATTCTTGAGTTGACTGCCCAGACTTTGTCTTGTGTGCATCTTTGCTAGGCTTGGTGTGAAGAAGACGTTCGCAAGATGCCTGCAGATGGGAGGTGTTTGTGGTCGTCACTTTACGTTGCTCTTCACCCTGGGCTTGAGCCAGAGCCGAGCAAGGTCAAGCAGTGGGCAGCAAGTTTGATGCTGCCCGCTGTGTCTTCGGATAGGGCCCAACGGGGTGTATGTGCCGAGCAGGAGGACCTTCAGGCTGCTTCGTCCGTTTTGGGTGCCGACGTCCATGTGTACACTGGGCAGCTGGGCTTGGGTCCTGTTGCGCCCGCTCTCTCGTTGCGCTGTCGCAACGAGCAGCGCGCAGGGCCTATCAGTTTACGACTCTCACAAGTTGCTGACGGTGCTGGTGTACTGCATCCTCACTTCGACCTCCTGCAGCGCTTGCAGCACGCAGCAGTGGTGGGGAAGGTGCCACCGACTCCGGCGAGCTGGTTGGGAAGCGGGCACGTAGGCCCATATAAAAGCAGATGCAACATTGGGTCTTGTCCTAGCGAGCAGTTTGCGCTGGGAGGTCTGCTGTCTAGCAGTTGTTTGCCAGGCTCTCTTGAAGTCTGCGACAAGGGCCTGGAGTGTTTTCCTGAGGCTTGGCTCTGCAATTTGGGATCCTTTAAGGGCACATCTGCTTTCTGAGTCCAGTCGGTCTGTCTTGTACGACCGACTGGACTCAGGGTTGGCCCGCCAGCATCGACGCAGGCATTGGACGAAACTCCGAAGGCCCTGGACTGCTCTGGGGCTGAGGCCTGTTGTCACACGCAGAGGTTTGTCTGAAGTTCTTCTGGGCAATATCGCAAAAATTTGCCCCCCTGGATCAGCCCGCCAGCATCGATGCAGGCATTGCGCAAAGTTGAGAAGCTCCCTAAGGCCATCTTGTCAGGATTGTCGCCTGCTCTACAAAGTTCATGCCCCCAACTCGAACTCGACATGTGTTTTCTGCTTAGGTGCTTTTGGGTAAAGTTGAAAGTTTTTTTCAGAGCTGACTAGGTGGGTTGGGGATGCTTGGGGTTTAAGGGTCAGCGCGCAGCATCGACGCAGGCATCGAACCAAGTTGAGAAGGTCCTGGACGCCCAGCTGGGTGAGGCAATCCCGTGAGGAGTGACATGAATTACCGGGGTTGTAAGGTTTGGGGGCTTAGGTGTGTGTTTCCGGGGTTTAGAGTTTAGGCGCTTACGGGTTTCAGGGCTGACGGGTTTAGGGTTTAGACTAGAATTTGGGGCCTAATCCACAACCCAAAGCCAGAAACCGTCGGATGCACTATTTGATGAGGCTTTGGCCATGGAGGCACGGGCAGACTCCTTTCTCCGCTTCAGGGCTCGGTTAAACGTTGTTTTTGGCGGGCTCAGGAGGACAAAGTGGTGCAGTGGTGTTTCGAGGCTGAAGCTCGAGGAGATTCACACGGTTTGCAAAGTGTGCTGGCTTTGTTTTGGGGACTCAGTACTGCATGGCCGCAAGAAGCAGAGGTCTCAAGTCTGAAGTCATTATTTTGCAGCGTGCCCTCAACCGCGAACTGGACAAGTGGTTTTGTGCATCTGTTAGGGTTTGGGGTTGAGGGTTTCGCAGCATCTGGAATTTGGAGTGTGCAGTGGCCTCTCAGTCCCACTGTGTCTGGCAGACCTTTCATGTCGGAGGTCTTCGACCGGCTGTGGTTCAAGCCCGGATGCATTCTTTAGTTTTTAATGTTGTTTTACGCTACCTCGCCATGCAAGTAGTTCATGTCCTTTCTGATGACGACGCCGTGGTTCCTGTTTCGGGAGCAGAAGCTTCACCATCTAAATCACGGAGGAAAATGCAATTTGAGAGGTTGGATGAAGTCAGTTTTGGGACTGAAGCCTTCAGTGCGAAGCTCCGGACTCGACCGGCGCAGGAGCTGGTGCGTGATGCTGGCAGGCGGTGGGCGGCGGCGCAAGAGCCCGCTCATAAGCTTGGCGAGTTCAGCACCCCGAGACAATCTGCTGATGATTATTGGATCACCACGGCCAAGTGCTTCAAGCACACAGATTGTCGCAGCGGGAACGGAAAGGTATTTCAGTTCCGAGGGTGTTGGGGACAAACAGGAGGAGTCTTTATGCTTCAAGTTGCATCGTGCGGCGACTGTTCCGGAGGAGACCGTGTGGCCAGGGTGGCGCAGAAACATACTGACAATGAGATTTCGGTTGAGAAGCGAATGTTAGTACTTGCCGCGCGCGCAGACTTGCTCCAGACGGGTCGCAAAGCCACCCCGTCAGCAGTGAAGATTAGACTCCAGGATGATACCATCTCCAAGGAGAAAGTCCGCCTGATTCTCCGACATTGCAGGCAGTCGCTCGGTCAGGAGACGCGTGCTTTCCGGGAGAGTCAAGTCCTTTTTGAGCAACATGTTTCGACGATAGACTCCAGCCTGGTCCTTGTGCACGAGATCCAAACAGCCCCTGTTTTCCAATGGGTCGCGCTTCTTCCTGCTTTCTTGAGCCGCCTGGCAGCGCTGCAGCCGAGCAGATGGTTCTGCACTGGTGACTTCACTTTCCGGTTGGAGCACATGGGCTATGCCTATGGGGTCTTGAGAAGCTTGGCCGCTTGATGTAGGGTTTGGCCATGGACCATTGGCCATGATGGCCGATGTCGCCAGATAAAAACATGGACTGTGTTGGAGTCCACATGATAGCAGAGAGCAGGTTCAAGACCGTCGTGTAGGCTTTCGGTTCAGGGCTCGGAACCTGTCCCGTAGCCCATGGACGCACTGCCCAGGTGCCATGATGTACCGCCGTTTGGCTGGCGAGTGGCTCCGAACCTTTTGGCCATTGTTAGTAATGGCAAGCCCCAAGGAAGACAAGAGTATATATGCCAAAGGCTGGCAAGCCTTGCAAGCAGGCTTGGACCAATACGGCCTGCCACCTCCTCTGCAACTCCATCTGGATTGGTTTAGTGGATCAGCATCGACTGGGAAGGCTGCTTTTCCGAAATGCTTGCTCCGACGCAGCCTAATGCACATGAGGCGCAATCTTCTTGGCAACCAAAAGAAAGGTACCCGACCACCGGTGCCCAAGGCAAAGGCCAAAGCAAAGGCCAAGGCAAAGGCCGTTCCAGGGCCGAGACGGTGGGCACGTCGGGCTCGCCCTGTAGCAGAGGAGGCGCCCGCGCCTCACTTACAGAGCCGCTCCATTTGGGCGGTCTTGAACCTTCTGTCTGCTATCATGTGGACTCCGACACAGTCCATGTTTCATCTGGCGATGTCGGCCGTCATGGACCGTATCGAGCGGGTATGGCAGGAGCGCAAATGGGCGGCCTACTTTCGCTCCAGATACCTGAGCTCTTTGCGGCAGAGTGCAGCCGTGTATGGGGTCGAGGAGGCAGGGTGTTGGGCTCCTGACTCCCGAACGCATGCCCCAGATAGACCTGACATTGAGTGGCAATTGAGGGCTTGGGGCTTGCCGCTGCCAGGTCCTGCACGCCGAGTGGTGGTCCGGATCGGGAAGTTGTATCATCGACTGGGGTGCATCTGCTCCTTCATCACAACAAGTTGCGGAAATGTCAAACGCGAAGATGAAGAAGGATTTGCGTGCGTCAGGACCACTGACCACACACAGCGCTGTACTCACTTCTCTGGAGCAATCAGTACGCTCGTGGACCGCGCCGTTGCTAGACGCAGACGCTTCTACGCGCGGCCCGCTCACGCTCTTGGGCCCCAGTGAGGGGATTAGTGCCGCTTCTCCATTAAGCCCCGACGACTGGATGCTGCACACTGGCAAGAAGGTCAGAATAAGACCGTACAGTGACGAGACCGTGCAGTTTGCGTCTATTCCGGAGATCTTGAACAAGATGCGTTTGCGCAAGCCGTGCTTCGACGAAATCGTCACCAGCAAAAAGAACAGGTTTATGGCAATGCATGTCGGTATGCCCAGACCCGTGGTTCCTGGCACGTGCCAGAACATGTTTGACCAGTTGAAGTGTCGTAATGTGCATAGCTTGAAGCGCTTGATGCTCGCTGCCGGCACCCTCCAAGAGACTGAGCCTGATGTGGTCAGATTCGACAAGGACAAGTTCAAGAAGGAGTGGATTGACATGTGCCTCGTTTGGTGCAAAGACGGGGGGCAGGAGGTGCGGTGCACGTGTTGGCACTGGAGTTGGAAGTCGCATTGTACTCACATGTACGTGGCGCAGGAAAGATGGGGAATCCGAAAGCATGTCAAAGCCGACATCCCTGTGGTCTCTGGCAATGAGAACGCCAGAAGGGGATCCTCGGAAGAAGCTGAGGCTCCGCGCCGCGTCAAGCGCAGACGTCAGAAGTGAGTGCGGGTGTGTTTCTTGTGTGTCGCTGACTTTTTGCGGCAGGGGCTGCCGGAAACCCGGCGGTGACTGCCGCAAGCAATCATGTCCATCTTCACATAGCCTCTTGCGTCCTTGTTGCATTTTGAGGCCTTTGCTATGCAGCCTTGGCCTAGCGACGTGCCACGTGCGTGTACAGATGTCGGAAGTCAGCCCGGGTCTTTGTTCCTCTTCTTGCAGGCCTGCCCTAAGCCCGATACCCTGATCCCTAAACCCTGAACCACTCCAACTCGGACCATGTTGCCCGGACATTTTCGGCAAGGACTGCCAGAAACATGGCGAGGGCTGACCGCGACAAATGAAGTCGGGAGGGTTTACCGGGCTGTGGGAGGGAGGGAGTTATTGGGTAGGGGAAGTCGGCAGGGTTTGGGGGGTTTAGGGCATTAGGTTAGCCCGTTTGGGATTCAGGGTTTCGGGTCACAGCCCGCCAGCATCGACGCAGGCGCTGAACGAAGTTCCGAAACTCCCGGACTTGCGCCAGGGTCAGGCCATCTCGTTTCTGTTTTGTGCGCAGCGTAGGAGAGTTCGCAATCCCCAATTGCCCATGTGGTTTGTGCTTGCGTAGAGCTGACTAGGTGTTTTGGGGTTTAGGGGTTAAGGGGTTCAGGTTCAGGGTCAGCCCGCCAGCATCGACGCAGGTATCGAGCGAAGTTGACAAGCTCACGCACCTCCCGGAGGTTGGCGTTTAGTTGGAGGTTCATGGGTCCTGTTTCCCCTAAGTGTAACTTAGGAAACTTAGGAGGCTTATAAGTGCAGTTATAGTTTGAACCTCCAATTTGGGTTTAGGGGTTCGGTTCAGCCTGTTTAGGGCTTGGGCAAGGTGCTGTGAGGTTGAGGGTTTCGGGTCAGCCCGCGGCATCGACGCAGGCGCCGAACGAAGGTCACAAGCTCCCGGACTTGTGCCAGGGTGAGGCCATCTCGTTTTTGTCACAGTCCCCAACTGCCCATGTGGTTTGTAGGGGTCTAGGGGTTTCGCAGGCATCGAACGAGGTTGACAAGCTCCCGCAAATCCCGGACTTGCGCCAGGGTCAGGCCATCTCGTTTTCTTTGTTTGCGCAGCATAGGAGAGTTCACAATCCCCAACTGCCCACGTGGTAGGTGGTTCAGGGTAAGTGCAGTTATATTTTGACTTAAAAGTGCCCTGAACCTCCAATTTGGGCTAGGGTTTTGGGCAAGGTGCTATGGGGTTGAGGGTTTCGGGGTCAGGCCATCTCGTTTTTTGTTTTTGCGCAACATAGGAAAGTTCACAGTCCAACTGCCCATGTGGTTTGTGCTTGCGTAGGGCTGACTAGGTGGTTCAGGGTCAGCCCGCCAGCATCGACGCAGGCATCGAACGAAGTAAACAAGCTCCCAGACTTCCATGATGGTCAGGCCACAGCTGGAGAGTTCAGAATCCCAATGCGGTTAGTGCTGGGTGGTTTGGGGGTCAGGGTTTAGGGTCTCGGTTCAGCCGCAAGCATCGACGTAGGCGTCGGTCAAACTTGAGAAGGAGAAGGTCCTTGCCCACAGCTTGCGCAGAGAGCTGGAAGTGCTGGCGGGGCACTCACCATTTTTTGTGCTCGAAGAAATTGGCACAAAGTTCTAAGTCTGAGGCTGATGAAGCTGTGGTGCAGCACTTGGAGCAGGCGCGTGCAGGTTCTAAAAGTAGACCTGGCGTGCAACCCAGCCTGGACGGGCCCAGGTTGCATCTGCGCCAGCAGAGGATGACGACGACGAAAGCTGCAAGGAAGAGGACGAGGCTTCACTGACGTAGACCCCCACCCCACTAAACTCGACGCAAAACTATTTTGCAGGATTCTGATGCCCAGGAAGACGCGCCTGAGGCTTCTCAGGAGTTTCCTATGAGGCGCGCTCGCAACGCTTTTCACATCTTCTACGAGCAGTGGAAGACGCAGGAGGCACCAGGCAAGGACCGCTTCAAGCGAGGCTCCGACATGCTCCGACGCCTGGAAGGCCTTGTCGCTTGAGAAGAAAGCGCCTTTCCAGCAGTTGGCACAGTCCGAGAGGGACGCTCTCCAGAAGGCGCAGGAGGAGTTCCTTGTTTCTCAACAACTGCAGCGCGAATGGCAAGAATGCGGTGTGGGGACGGTGGAGTTCGCTTCCGCGGCCCTCGGCGTCAAAGGCGAGGTCCAAGAAGTCAAGGTGCTGGAGGAAGCTGGCGGTGGGGACCCGGGGTGCCCTCAGCACTGCGGTAACTGTGCGGTGGTGTACTTGCCGAAGGTCAGCCTGCCTCGATGCCAAAAGTGCCGAAAGTCGGTAAGGCTTCTTGAGCCGTCCGGCGAATCAAATGCGTGGCGTGTGCCAAGGCCCCTGCACGCCTTGAAGCATGAGGACGTGGATGACCTTGTTTTCAGAGCGCAACTGCCGGAGGTGTTGACGCTCAGGTGTTTGGAGAAGACCTTGAAAGAACAGTGTGTGGGATACACTGTGTCGACAGAGGCGAAGCTCCTTCTACTCCGCGCTGCTGAAGAGTTCCTTTCGGGTTTTTATCTCAGAGCGAACATGCTAGCCGAGCACCGTGGCAGGAAGCGTGTGTCCAAGCAGGACGTGGATCTTGCGAGGACATTGTCTGATCGGGTGGAAATGACAGAACGGCTTCGTGTTGCGCAGCAAGAGGCTCGCGCAGAGGAGCAACAGGAGCAAGGTCGCAGACCCAAGAGGAAGAGCCTTCCGGAGCAGGCAGGACTTGGGCAGCACTTGCAAGCTGGATCAAGGGTTAAGCTGGATCATTTGCTTCAAACGGGCCTTCGGGCCCACCGAGCAGCTCCCCCAACCGTTTGACTGACAATTGAGGCTTTGATACCCACAAAGCCTCAATTTTGACTCTAACGGCCCCCCGGCCAGCTCCCAAAGGCGTTTGAGTCAAAATTGAGGCTTTGGGATCCACAGAACCTCAATTTTGACTCAAACGGGCCAGCGGACCCTCGAGCAGTTGCCAGAGCCGTTTGAGTCGAAATTGAGGCTTTGGGGCCCACACAACCTCAATTTTGACTCAAATGGGCCTTCGGGCCTTCCCCACCGTTTGAGTCAAAATTGAGGCTTTGGGGCCCACAGAACCTCAATTTTGACCCAAACGGGCCTTCGGACCTGCCGAGCAGCTTTTCCCAGTGTTTGAGTCAAAATTGAGGCTTTGGGGCCCACAGAACCTCAATTTTGACTCAAACGGGCCTTCGGACCGAGCAGCTTTTCCCAGTGTTTGAGTCAAAATTGAGGCTTTGGGGCCCACAGATCCTCAATTTTGACTCAAACGGGCCTTCGGACCTGCCGAGCAGCTTCCTCACCGTTTGAGTCAAAATTGAGGCTTTGGGGCCCACAGAACCTCAATTTTGACTCAAACGGGGCCTTCGGACCCGCCAAGCAGCTCCCCCAACCGTTTGAGTGAAAATTTGGACCCCAGAAAACCTCACTTTTGATTCAAACAGCCCCCCCCTCCCCAGTCCCAGACCCTCCGAGCAGTTCCCCCAACTGTTTGAGTCAAAACTGAGGCACAAACCCTAAGTCCTAAACCCTCCTTTGTTCTCTTTGCTTTCGCCCTGCTGCAGGAACTCAATGGCCTCAACGTGAAGGCATTGAAGTCTTGGCTTAAAGCCAAGAAATTGAAAGTGAGCGGCCAGAAGCAGCTGCTTGTGCAAAGAATCGTAGAAGCGGGGGGTACCTACCAGCAGGTCCTCACGCTCGACACCTGATCGAAGCGCGCGCTGCACTTCAGAAGGAAACGAGTGCTTGTCATGCTCTGTCCTTTTTTTCTGACGGCGTTGCAGCAATTTTCTGCCGCGGTTGCATATTCTAACCTTCTGCGTGGTTACAGCCCCGCCTCGTTGGGCGGCAGTATGCTTTAGCATAGTTCGTTGCGCTACTTCTTGGATGCTCGTGCACCGCGTAGATAGGCCCGCCACTTTGCAACATGAACCTCCAATCCCACTTTTGATTAGAGTGTCTGCTGCCCTAAACCGTCCTAGGCCCAACCCCTTTCGGCCCCTTTAGGCCTTCAGGGCAGTCATGGCTCTTTTGGGTTTCGGGGAGGGTGGGTGGGGGGGGGGGGGGGGGGGGGGGGGGGGGGGGGGGGGGGGGGGGGGGGGGGGGGGGGGGGGGGGGGGGGGGGGGGGGCGTCTCGAAGCCAGTTGGAGAGACATATGGAGTCCCGTATGACACACAACCAGGATCGCCCCCTTATGCGATAGGTGCTATAGTTCGATGGGTACCGCACCCGTCACCTCAAACCGAACAGACCCGATTTTAGGCAGGGTGTTGGGATGTTTCGTATTTTCCCTGACTGGGTTTAAGAGAGAGGACCATATTTAGAAATATTTTTAAAGAGGGTGTTAAGGGTCATCCTCGGATTGGATTCGTTCGATCCACAGGTACGGCTTCCTTTCCTTGACCTTCGGCGCTGCCTGGCGGGCCTTAGCCACGGCTGCGTGCACTGCGGAGCCTCGTTTGAGTCGGAGCCAGGGGGGGCTTTTCGGCGCCCGACATCCTAAACGTCCCTAGTGACCGTAGGGCCCTGGACTGCAGAGGCTTGAGGGGTGGCCTGCCTTGCGTGAGACTGCAAACGCGTTCTGCATCTTGTGTTTGCATAGATGCCCAGCGGCTGTTGTTTGCAAGAGTTGTGGGTGGGCTTTCAGACCTCCGGAGAATGTTTTGAGCTTGACTTGTCAACGCATTTGATTTAACAAACTTCTTGTTTTCGGCACCTCCGAGAATTCCTCTTCCTGCGGAGTCATTTGGCCCAGGCCCCCAACCCAGGCCTTAGACGCTCCACCCTATGCCCTGCACCCAGATGCCAAACCCTGAATGAATCCTCAAACTGCCTCCGCCACTACTCCGACCATGAAGTTTCTGAAGGCGCGCATGGAACGGAGGAACTGCCCGGAAGCAGCGCACCAGCTCTGCATAGCCCTGCAACCCTGAAGGGTTCATGGTAGAGGAGAGATGCCTCCAACTCTGACAGATGCGACTTCACACCCTAGCCACCCTCGCCCAACCCCTGGCACTGAGCCCACTGAGCCCTCTGAGCCCCGACCTCAGCTCTCCGCAAAAGGCGAAGTTGGCGCTGCCGGTCATCAACGGCGCCGAGGCCCCTTTAAGCTCGCGCCTTCACAGCGGAGGGCTGCAGACAGTTGAGGGGAGTGTGCTGTCCCAGCGGCTTCCAGCGTTGGCCTCAACAATGCCCATCCCAACCTCCAAGCTGATGCTGCCGTTCGGGAAGAGCTGCATTGGAGGAGGGTTCTGTCGGAACTATAGGCTGTCCAGACCATGCAGGGAGACAGGGTCCATGGAGTTCCATTGTCCATAGGATCCAGCAAGGACGGTGTTAAAATTGCGAAAAGGGGGCCCATAAAGTCCGCAGCATAGAACGTTTCATGGAGACTGCATGGAGGGTGTGTGGGGGGGTTTGGGTCCAGGGTGGTTCAGCTGGCTGAATAATCGGGATGCTGCGTGTTGAGCATCACTACTTCAGCATTCAGGTTTGCTGGATATTCTTTACACAAACGACTCATTGCAAAGTTGTCTCTTCGACCAATGACTATTGCGATCCAAGCTGGTCTTAAACCCTGCGGTTTGCGTTAACTTTTTGCCGCAGGCTGGCTTAGATGCTGCGGCGAGAGGAACGACCGCGGCGTGGGAGCGGCTGGAGTCATGACTAAGTTTCAGAGCATCTGAGAGTTTCAGACCCCCCCCCCGCAAGTTGTTTTGGAGAGTACACTGCAGATGCAGATGGTAGTTGTGACTGATTGAAATTCATGTTCGCGATTAGGGGTGATGGGCCCTTTGCCGGTCTTCTCGCGGATGCTTGCAACATGTTTCAACCCTAAGCCCTATAGGCCCCCTACACTTCGAGCTCCTCACCCCGCAGCACACCCCCCAGGCCACCGCAGCATCACGCCTGCTAAAACGAGGCCTCGCCTCGAGAGGGCTTCGGGTCGTGGAACGGGAGGTTGCTGTGCAGGATTACGGCTAGCGGGTAAAGCTCTAAGACCCCAAGCGCTTGCACTCAGTTGGGGCTCTGAAGGTAGGGCTCAGGGCTCCCTTCATTCCAAAGGCCAAGCCCCAAGCACTTTTGTGTGCCACCTTCGGGGTGAGGCTTTTGCTTCGACTTTGTACCGGTTTCAGGGTTTACCGGTTGAAGCTCTAGGAGTCTAGGACCGGGCTGTCTAGTGCCCTCAACCCGGAAGCCCACAAGATCCAGCAACTCCATGCTTGTGCCCTAAACCCCACAGTCCGACATCCTAGACGTGTTTTTTTTGCGAATCTGCAGCTCAAAAGCAGGCCCGAGCTCCTTTTTTGGGGCCTTTTTGGGTTTAAAGTTCGGACTCGGGAGGAACAAAGGACGCCAGCCTGCCTTTCGTGGACTCCATGGCCGCTGAGGATGCACAGGCCAGGTGAAAGAGCTACAACTTCCTTAGGGTTTAGGGTTTAGGGTTTAGGATTTAGGATTTAGGATTTAGGATTTAGGGTTTAGGGTTTAGGGTTTAAGGTTTAGGGTTTAAGAGTTGAAAACTTCCTTCCTTGTTCTATCCTGAGATCATAAGATAGCGCGCCCATGAAGGCCCCCCATTTTCTTGCACACGTGGAGCTGGGGATGTGTTTTGGATTCCTTGTTCGAGGCCCTCTGATGAGTCTTGCTGCATAGCCACGAAAGATTTGTTTATTTCAGTGTTCAGAGAATCGTGCGGCAGGTTGCTGTTGGACATGTCGGTGGTATTCACCCGTTGGGGTCCCGTGTCGGATCGTTAAGTCTTTTGCCCGCGCGTCGGCACAATGAAGCACACTTCTCTGAGTCTCTCCTTCACCATAGCTCCCGCTAACGCGGGGGTGAAGGAGGTTGGGGGACGGCGGGGTTTGCGTAGCCGGCCCACTCCCGGGAACAAGGATGCCATCAGACTCCCCCTAGAGGACAAACAGTTCAACTAGGGGCGGGCCTGTGAGTCAAGGCAGAGACCCCTATGGGTGCATGCTACCAACAAACCAACCCGAGGTGTGCCACCTGCGTGCAACAGATACGCGGGGGCCGTTAATTCAAGCACGCTTTGGTCTGCCACGGAACCTTTTCATCTTACAGATTGAGACACTCACTCAGAAGGCTGACAGCAGCGAAGAACTCATTGGGGGCGCTGGCCCGGGGCTCCTACGTAGTACCTTTTTGGGGTATAGTCGGTACTCGTATAGTATACAGCATACTAGGAAGGAACTACGACAGAGCCTTCAGGCAGCTTCTAGTGGCTTGCTAAGAAGAGCCTGCCACAAAGCCGCCAAAGAGCGGAGCCCCACCCACCCTACATTTCAGAACCCCAAGGGTTTAGGCTTTAGGGTATGGGGTTTAGGGTTTAGGGTTTAAGGTTTAGGGTTAGATAATTACACAGCAGAAGCCCAAGCTCCTGGAAGCCGAACACCAAACCCATTGCTATGTGTTTGCTTAAGCCAATCTCGTGTGACGGCCGAGCCCCGGAACAAGTCAACCCGGCTCGTGCCAGAAAGCGTTTTGATATCGTCCAATTCAGCTTGCCTTGATGTCTGACAGTGTGCATACTCGGCGGTCACTCTGGTGATTGTTTGGCCCACTTGGCATTCTTCCCAGTGGGACTTTCAGATACATTTGTGATTTGTGAGCAGCCACGGCGTTTCCCGCCAGACATGGCAGGTGGAGGAGGCTGCAAAGAATATTCCAAGTAAGCGGCTCACTTGAATTATTGGACAGTCTCGTTTTCGGACTTGAGGGTTTGGGCCAGCTGCTTCGAAGTCTGAGCGTAGCGTGACTGAAGGTTTTTGTTGACAGCGGGGCTACGTGAACCTTACTCCAAACATGTCTGCTTCTACATCTCAAGACTCGCATGGCGGCCCCAAAGTTTAGACTATTTTTGGGGGTTCTTAAGCAAATCGTAGATAACTTATACAGTCTAGTATGATGTAATATTAGATTTAATCCTATGTACTATTACATAATATTTCCATACTAGATAGGATTATATAAGGGTCACAATCAGAAGCTCACAGGACACTCGCCACAGTCCACAAGCTGCTCGGAAAAGGCGGGCTCGCGAGCGATGAGGGCACTAAACGGTACCCAGACCAATTTCTAGGGTTTAGGGCTTAGGGCTTAGGGCTTAGGGTTTAGGGATTCGCACTGGCTGACAGAGCTCGTGGAGTGTTTGAGCGGCTTCTTGTTCTACTCGCAGGGCTGCATAGGATGCTCCAGGTTTCAGGTCTCAATCCTGGCCGCGGCTTGAGCGTCAGCTGTAGGGGGTTCCGGGCTTTCCGGGGTTTTGTGCTTCAAGTTTGAACGTGTCTGTGAGGATCCCTGACCCTGTCCACGAGCATCCACAAGTCCCTGGACCTGTTCGCCAAGGTTTTGGCTGCTCGGGCCTGTCTTTATGAGAAGTTCCGGGGAGTGTTTTGGGTGGCCCAACCTCTTGCAAATTCCCGCCGGCCCACATGAGAAGAGAGACCTCTAAAGACTGCGATGAGCACCGAGCTTAGGCTCGTTCACTCTGGAGGGTTTGCGTAACGCTCGCTGGCACGAGTGGTTTGTTGTGTTGTGGGCGCACCCTCACGCGTGCGGGGAGGTCCTCCCAGATGTTGTAAGCCTCTCTGTGCCACTCAAGGCCTCAACAGAATAGTTAGGTTCTGACGGGGTGTTCCCTAAACCCTAAACCCTAAACCGTTCCTGGCAACCGTGTGCTGATGGTGTAACGCCCATAGGGATCTTCAAGCGCGCAATCCCTGCAACAAGAAGGCCAGTTAAAAGTCACACGAGAGTCTAGAAAAAAAGGCAGGGCTTTTGGTCCACGTCAGGGCCCAGTTCCCCAGAAAGCTCGGAAGACTCCGCCTGGAAGCCGCAAAAGACTCTTCGCACAATCCCTCGCGCGGGAGCCGCTTCCTGCAATGTCCCTTTTTTCGCCTGAACCTTTTGGAAACCCTAAGTTCGCAGTCTGCTCAGCTGTGCACCCGAACCGTACACCCTAAACCCTAAACCCTAAACTGCGCAAGTACCCTGTGTAAAGCAGACACCCCCCCTTACAGAGCCCACAAAAAACCCAAGGACATGATCGGGCAAAGCACCATCTTCGTCTACGGGCTCTCCAGCGCCCTCTCATTCGCGGCGCCCTTGCAAGGAAATAGCCGAGCTCGGAGAGGGTCCTCCCTTCGCCACACCCCTGAGGGGTTTAGGGTTCAGTGTTAAACCCCCAAAATCCCTCCATGTTGGAGCTGGTTTCCGGTACTTTAAAAAAAAAAATTGGGGGGGGGGGGGGGGGGGGGTCCCTTTAAGGGGATTCTATTCTACTTGGGGTATAAGGGGATTCTATTCTACTTGGGGTATAAAAAGAGGGTACCCCTATTTTGGGAAATGCACATATCACACAAAACATGCTAGATGTGAGGTTACGTTTCTACCCTTTCTCACACGACTTCTGTCTTGAGTCTGCGTCGCTTTCGGAGCCGACTTCGAAGTTTCATTCGGGTTTAGGGTTTAGGGTTTAGGGTTTAGGGTTTAGGGTTTGGGGTTTGGGGTTTAGGGTTTAGGGTTTAGGGTTTAGGGTTTAGGGTTTAGGGGTAGACGTTTCTGCAGACCTCCAGAGCTGGCAGGCTAAAGCAGCCAAAAGCGGCGGAAACTTGAAACGCACTCGAACCTGGGCCCGAAGCTTGAAGCTCTGGGAACCCTCAACGCCGCATACCCTATAGTATACTATAAAATACTATAAGATACTATCAAATACTATGTAATATACTACAATATACTCTAACATACTAACACCTTACGAGCCTGTAAATCCCAAGACCTGCACTGAGGTTCTGCGAGTGTGGCAGCCTGGGCAAGGGGCAGCCCGGAGCGGTTTAGTGATGTCATCAGAAGTAACGTATCCTAAACTGCCTAGTTTAGGTTTAGGGTTTAGGGTTTAGGGCTTGGGGCTTAGGGCTTAATTTCCTTCTGTACACAGTGACAATAACTACCAATGAGCCTGATGTTGCTACGCACCGTCGAAGGGTGTAAGAGGTCAGGGCAGCCGCCAGCAGCGGGCAATTGAGGGGCTTGCGGATGCTGCGGTTACAGGTGTTGGCTGTACTTGGCACATTTCTGACATTTCAGAGAGCCAAACGGGGAATTAGAATCCAGATCGAAGCACGCATGCATATGCATGCATAAGGTAAAGTTCTCCACGAATTACCGATCTTGTTACCGCGGTTGCCCATCTTGTAGCCTCGATATCCTGAGAAGAGCTCTTTCTTATTCTAAAAGAAACCGTTGACAGCATTTCTGCATGGAATATGAAGATTTTGCATTTTGCTAAACAAGAGGTAGCCAGAAGGCAAACAGGCTCTGAATTGTGGCTGCTGTTGTGGTGCGATTGGCATGTGTGAGTCAGTGTGAGTCAGCTTGGCACAGCGTCGCAGTATATCTGAGCTTTTTTTGCATCCAACAAGTGTGCAACTCTTGGACGAATGTTGTTTATCGATATGTTTTAAACATCCTTGGACTCGTCAGATTACAGCTCAGCTTTGCCATGATGATTTCCCAGACGGAGTTTAACATAACCAGTATTGCAGCCTCCAAACTAGGGGCCTGTCGCCCCCCTCACTTCGACAGGCAAGCTTGAGTAGGAATATTCTGCAGATGTCTTTATTTTCACATGTGTACTTGCAAGCAAAACTTGATGTGAGTTCACTGTAAGTACGCAAAGGAAGGGTGTACAAGCCGTTTTTTGTTGCAAACAGCCACAGATTTTTCGTGTGAGATGCAGAAACTCAATGCAAAGATGGATTGGAACAGTGCTACTTCTTGCAGAGAGGTCAGCACTTCAGCACATTTGCTGCCTGCCTTCCAGAAGCTCTTGCCTTGCTGCCAGAAGAGCCACCTGACTTCTTCTGCCATCTTGTCGGGAACGCACATGCCTACGCACAAAGCCACGCACAAACGGCGCTAAGCAAAACCCACGCATACGCGCACACAGACTAAGACTAAGAGCCTCATCATGAGCCCTAAAGACTTGAGGACTTCAGCAGCGACGAGCTCATGGCCGCTTCCGTAGGCGCGAAGCTCGACGAGGCCCTGCGACAGTCTTGGCAAACAGCTTTGGGATTGGGAATGTCCAGTGGGTTTGGGTTGGGATCTGCTATGATCGTGGGGGTTTGGGGAGGCATTCCGAGTTGCATTCGTTGTGCATCGGCCGGCTGCAGACTTTGTGCTGTTGAGATTAACGGGCGCCTAATGACAAGTAGACTTTGCCGGTCTGCGAACTGCCGACATCGAGAGAGAAGTGGCAAGATGCCAAAGCCTCAGGCGCGCAAACCCCGTGAGCCGGCAAGCTGCTAAGCATTTTCTGAGGAAGACCCCGTTCAGTCGCTGGTCTCCTTACCCTAAGGGTCCATGCACCCATATAGTATATACTTGGGCCCTAAGGCTACTATGCAGGGACCCCCTTTAAGGCCCAAGTATATACTATAGAGGTACATGGACCCCTTTGGGGCTCAAAACAGAGCAGCCAACCTACAAGTCCAACACCGATCCTAAACTTGGATCCTAAGCAACACAAGGTTTAGGGTTTTGGGGTTTAGGGGTTTAGGGCTTGGGGCTTGGGGCTTAGGGCTTAGAGCTCCTTACTTGCGAAACCGGCAGGCGAACATGGATGCCTGCCGCGGCAAGACAAGAGGCTTGCAAAGCTGCAACGTGTTCATGTGGTTCAGAAAGCTACCTGTACGGCTTCAACCCTAATCCCTAAGCCTTAAACCCTAAACCCTTTGGGTCTGGGGTTCCATGTGGGATTTTGAGCTCAAGCTCAGGGATCGGGACTTGTCTAGGTTCGGTGCCATCGGTCTAGAGAAGCTAGAGCCCCCCCTGCCTGCTGGCACAAAATCTCAAAACATGAGCCTTGTGGCCATATCAGATGGATGAATGTAGGGAATCTCCGTGCCAATCAAGGATGACAGCTATCTCAAAGCACAGCCCTCGAACCCCAAGTCCCTGAGATCCAAGCTGTCGCCCGTCGCAGGTGCCTCATGCATGTTCTTGCAGTTTGCTGGCTTTAGCGTCTTGACCGACATTCTCGAACAGACATGTCGGACCTGCCTACCTAAGCTGGGCGCATTGAGGTCTGTGTGAGGTGGAGGGTTGTAAACTTTGGACCTCAAAAACACGGAAACGGAAAGTAAGCGATGTCTTTGGCTTCGTGGAGAAGGACAAAGCTTGCGAAAGATCCGACTGTTGGCGCCACAAGCCATCCTCCGATTAATGAGGTACAAAACCCAACTGTTTTTCCCACATTTCAGGGATATCGGTGTGAGAATTTTGAGGGCTGAACCCTCAACTGAAGAGGCCCCCCTTTTTTTTTTCGGCCGGGGGCGGGGGGGGAAGGGAGAACCGGGGGGGTGCGATGGTTTGTCCTTTGCTTTGTAAAAACTCTGTGTGGAGCTTCTCTACCCCAAGGTCTCAAGTTCCAGACCTTAAGACTGTAAACCTAAGCTAGGCCCTGTATATACAGCAAACCCTAGACCCCGAGCTCTTATACTGTAGGCCCTGCAATCTTTTGGAGGTATGTCTAACTTCTCAAAACACTGACTACTTTGTGCTTAAGAACTCCCCAAAAAACACAAAAAGGGCAATATAGGGACTAATATTATTCTTATTTTGGGGGCTTCTTAAGCAAATAGTAGCTGAGGCAACGAGACCGTGGCTCAGGGCATTTGCTGTGGCGGCACCTGTGGCGTCGGGCCTTGCACGGAAGGGCCTGAAGAGGCACCGCAAAGGGGAAACCCTGAGCCCAAACTGTCCCTAATCGTTCAGTGCTTAGGGCGTAGGGCTTAGGGCTTGGGATTTAGGGTTTAGGGTTCCAGGAAAGAGGAAGCCAAAGAACCGGCAAGGTCTCAAACCCTCGCAGCCGCAAAAGCCATCAAGTTTTGCCGACAGCACTGCTTAGGAATTTAGGTAGGAACCAGAACCAAACCTCAGGGTTTCAGGCTTTAATGCTTCAATGAGGGTTTCGGCCAATCAGGATATATAGTTTGACCTTGTACGAGGCAAGCAAATGCGCATGTGTAGGTAGACCTCCTCCAAAAGAGCATCTGCAAGCATAAGTGCGGCTCTGGGCCCTTTACGACTCATACCAATGAACCTCCAGCTACACCGAAGGAAACAGCCGAGCAAGAATTTGCCGTGCAGAATGTGTCTCTGGGACAACTTCGGCGCCAGTCTAAGTGCCTTGGCGCTGGTGTTGAGGGTTGTGGGGGGGGGGGGGGGGGGGCGCGGGGGCGCATCTTCGTCTTCCTTTCTGTGGTTGAGCACCCACCGCAAGAGCACAAAGGATCTGCCTGCAAGGAGCACGTTTGCAATGCAAGGTCTCGTTCAAGCCGTCGACCTGCACGTTATAATCTTATAATCTTCCCAAGCTAAGAACGCCTGATTGGAAAGGTCTCGATTTTGCGCAGCGTGAGTTGAGGTCCAGGCTCTGAGAACTTCAAGGTTGTGAGCTTCAAGTCTTTAACTTTAGGACAGGAGATGCACGCTTCAGAAGCCCTCAGCACCGAATGTGCTTAGGGCCTAGGGCTTAGAGAACTCAACCACTCAGAGTTAGAAGTCTTGAACTCGCCACTTGAGCTCTAACGGGCCAATGCCCCTTCATTTCCAATGTTGCGTCTTTTTCCCATGAGTTCGCGAGTCATAAGGAAAGCACGAGTTCGTGGGTGACCCTAAGCCTCAGCCCACCAAACCCAGATATGCTACAAGGACTGAAAGCATGAGGCTCAAGCTGAAGATTCTTCCCCAAAGGTCAAACAAGTCAAGCAAGATACACCCCGGACCCCTTCAAAGAGAATCGTTCGCACCACCCAGACACTTGAGCAAAGAAACCTAAAGCATCGCCTCACAGAGGCAACCTCCAACTTAAAGCTCCACGTGAATCGTTAAACCCTAAACCCTAAACCCGAAACCCTAAACCCTAAACCCTAAACCCTAAACCCTAAACCCTAAACCCTATACCTAAACTTAAACCTGTCGGAAAGACAGGTTCCTCTATGGGTTCATCAACCTTGCGCGAAAGTCCTATGGCGGCTTCTGTAAGGACCCTGACGCTGAGTAGTTGAGCCGTGGAACAGGTGCAAGGTCGTCGGGACCGTAGAGCGTGGTCGTGGGAGTTACCTGATTACTGCAACCCCGAGACTCTAAGCCCCCTAAGGCGCCTAAGCAGAATCCTAAGCCTGTGATCCCTTAGCCCAAAGCCTGTCATTTCTGAGTGAGACCCGAAGCAGCTACTTCGTGTAGTCTTTAGGCGTTAGGAGACGTGAGCGCGGCAGAAAAAGGAAAGGTTGTCCGGAAGCCGCCTAACCAACCTGACATCCTGACCCAGAAGTGTTCGTGTGCATATATATATATATATATATTTATGGTACCCCCCCCCCTGGAGAATCTACCTCCAGAGGGTGGGGGTTTAAGATACCTGTAATTTTAATTTCTTCGTTTAAGGTTTTTTGTTCGTTTAAGTCACGGTTTTCGTCCTTATATATGTGTAGGATATGATTTCCTATATCATTCTCCTATATGCTGAGAGTGAGGTGTAAATTATAAGCAGTTGGGTTGCGTATAAGCAGTGGGGTTGCTTATAAGCAGGAGGGGGGGAGGGGGGGGGGGGGGGGGTTGGGGGGGTTTCGCCCCAGGACCTCTGTGACAGCCCTCCCCCCCAATGAAAGATCATCCATGACCAGATATCCTCTTCTTACTCAGTAGAGCCCAAGACCTGTGAACATGAAAATGTTATTGAAGCATTTGGTTAAAGAGCGAGAAGTGTACGTGAACAAGTAGTTGCCATGAAGCGCGTGGGAGCGGTATCAGGCCTCATCTCCTTGGAAAACGGTGTCTGCAAACTTGAATTGGTTCAGAGCTCCTTCACTCCAAGCACTTCCGCATCCACAGCTTCTATGCCTAATCCCTCGTCTCCTCCACCGGTCATCTCTACCATAGTCGAGGAAATCAAGAGTGGCACCCTCGAGACACATCCCACGAAGCAAGACTTGACATCACGCCAAATCCAATCACATGTGATCTATCTCCAGCACAAGTTCTCCCTAGTACCAGGGTCCCAGGGCGGCTGGAATCAGTTGGCAGAAGATGCACTTCGCCAGTGGTTGAGAACCAAAAAGCGTGGTGCAGCAGCTAAAGCCAGTTCGTCAAAGCAGGTGCTCGCCATCACAGATGAACCGGGGCGTGCGTCATCACCAGAGGCTACCACATCATCGTCGTCTACCGGCCCGGGCTTATCAACGCAGCCGCTCGCCATCGCAAACGAACCGTCACCACCCTCGGCTACCACACACGAGAACGCACCACATGATACGCCGCCGTCTCCTACCGGCCAAGCGCTCGCAGCCCCGGAGAATGAAGACGATTCCTCGTCGAGTTCTTCTTCGTCGTCCTCATCAGACACATCAAGCGAGCCCGACACCGTGGATTACATGGTCTGGGTAAGTGATTGGCATGATTTGGCGGCTTCTTGTGTACATATCTTGCGTGACTCGCAAAACAACGCCAAGAAGCGTAGAATCGCAAAGGACTTGCTTCAGAGTATCAAGGCCTCTAAGGCACAGTGGGACTCAAACAAGTAAGCAAAGGAGCCCACACAGCAGATGACAGAATCTTCCTTAAGACCGGCTGCCTGCTTTGGATTGCAGTTGAAAACAAAAGGCGCGTGCTTATAAACAGCTCGCTTGCTTATAAGCAGCCCATCTGACAGTAAGCCAGTATATATGGTGTCTTGTGTCAGGCTCCTCAGTTAGTTACCTTTGGTGGTATAGATTCTTGACTTCTTTAACTTGCCATGCAAGAGTGTATCGCGATCGCCCAACACACCTACATCAAGTATGTCGACAAGCCCGCCCACGTCGTCGTCGCCACAGGTGAGCACTGCATCTCGGATCTGCCTTTGATTGAAGTGCAAGGAAAGGGGAAGAAATTTAAGGAGTTCTTCCATATCGTTGAGAACGTTACCCCAGAGCACCTAACACAAATCCGAGAGGTTATGTGTGCAGATGAAATCGTAGTGGGTCGCTTACCCGGCTTCGTCAGTCCAGGCGATGCTTTACATGAAAGTTGTCACCTACAGCTAGTTGTAGACAGCGCCGCCAACACCGTCCTGCAGTTCTTCCACTCGTCGGTGCCCTTGCCTTGGGGTGTAGTCAAAGCGTTCTGTCGCGGGGGCAGCGTCAAAGTCTTGAACTACAAGATCGCCACCAATTCCGACCTCGTGAAGCGAGGCTGCCTAGTAATGCTTTCCAAGATCAAGGGTGAGCAATGGCTAACACAAGCTCTTCAAGAGAAACTTCGCCGCCCACCCAAGAACGGGGATATGGTTGGAAATGCAAGCGGTGGTTCATGGGATGTAACACCCGATGAGCTCCGCGAGGGCATCGCCTACATCAACAAGAATGCGCCCGTGGCTAACTCCAACAATGAACAGTTCCTGTGGTCTCTACTCAATGTACGTGACAAGGAATCACCTATTTTCGGATGGCCTCTACACATTGTGAGCCGAGCATGCTCCAATCGCAGCCTTGGGAATTCCCAAGCAGAGGCCGAGCATTTCTTCCCCTTGCTGGTCCCCGGCTTGAACCCCAATCATGGACAGGGTCCTGCCGCTCGTTGTCCCTACTATGCCCACGCATGGCTTGATGATTCTTGGCAGAGCAGGGATTGGCAAAACTCCTCTTGCCATCATCGTGGCCTTAGCCGTTGCCAGACACCACCTGACATCTCACAACATCAAAAATCGTGGTGGGATGGCACCGATCCAAGCAGATCGACGGATTTCGGGAGTGCCCAGGTGAACTACACATTCCCGTTATCTTGGATGACGCTATCCTTTCTTCTATATCATTCGAGGACATCAAGTCCTTCCTGGACGTGGGTGAGACATGTCTAGTTGACGCTCGACACCGAGCCGCGAAGTTTGTTCGCAACCAGGTCAGGATTCTGCTTAACAACCAGTGGGAGGAGGATGATGAGCCAGATGATCTCTCCTACAACAACAGCATCAGTTGGAATCAGTTCAAGAAAATGATCTCCTCAGCCCTTGGCGATGCCCCATGCCCCCATGATGGCAATTCTCAAACGGGCTTCCATCATCATCGCTGGTCACAAAGGTGTTTACGTCCGTGTCGCAAGTGAGCACCAGTCGCAAACCATACATCGTTTCGAAGGAGGTGGTGTTATCGAAGATCGGCTTACTTCCACCCACAAGAGCTTCTACTCCAAGTACAAGGATGGCGTCTATGCCAAGTACAGTGGTTACGAGGAAAAGCTGCAGGTAGAAGCTGACTTCATCAGTGATCTGCTGGCGACCTCTGAAGAAAAGGAGTACATGCGTCGTGGAGCCACCTACGACTCATGGGCAGAAGAAGCCGACACAGCACCCGTAGAGTACCCACCTACACCTCGTTCGCGCCCGGCATCATCCAACGCTGCACAGAGTCCCGTCATCAAGTCGCCCCCGCCTAAAATGATGAAGAAGTCCGAGGACGATGACGCAGATGAAGAGGCAGCAAAGGCTATGCACTCAGACTAAACAGTGACATCCAGGTTTATGCTGATTCGGATCGTGATATGGCATCGACGACACCGCCGTCACTTCGTCCATGCCGGTTTTGCTTCTCGACTTCATCCGGCTCAGCGTAGGCTCCATCACTCCAAGAAACATCGCGAATAGTCAAAACGTCGCCAAAATGAAAAGAAGTGCGTGCAAGATGTTGGTGTCATGTGCACTGCTGCCCGCGTGTCACGTTTACAGTGCATGGGTGTATGTGGCCTCGTCAGGTCCAGGTTTTTACCGATCAAGTGCTTTCTGCGTCATTGCCTCCATTTCTTGTCTTGGCCTTATGCAATGGGAAAGACCGCCGAAGCCCACCAAGACCTCCAAGAGTGCCGTCATCGCGAAGAAGGGCAAGATGCGTTTGGTTCAGAAACGTGTAGCAGTGATGAAATCCAAGCTGTGGAAAAAATCAGCTACATTCGGGAAAAGAATGCAGTGCCTTCTCGTGGACAACGCAAGGAACAGATCAAGTGGAAGCGAACTCTCCCTGAACTTCTTGAAGCCTCGGATCATGGGATCATCCGGCTCTTGATTGCGGACAAGATACTTCCAAAGTGGGATGGCAAGCGATGCCCCTCTTGCTCGAAAGGAACCTTGTCAAAGCTGTTCGTCGAAAAGCGAACCGGACTTCTCAAGCATCGATGCAGTAGGAAGACATGTCAGCTGCACATGAACCCCCATCATCTACATCCTCTTTTCACAGAAGGGCGCGGTGATCGGTCCAGGTCGCTACAGCTCCAGTCCGCGCTTCTACTTCTCAAGCTACACAAGGTTCCTCAGAGCACCATCCACTTGTTGCTCGACGTCAACCATAAGTGGATCGAGGACATGGAGTACAAGCTTTGTCGAATCCGAAAGGATTTCGTCGAGCAGAAGGAGAAGCACATCCAAATGGGGGACGGTAAAACCTGGAAGGACGTGGAAGCCGACGAGGCTGCGTTCGACAAGCGGGACATCTCTAAAGACATGGAGTACAAGCACCTCATCAAGTCCCCAAAGGCCACAATGATGTGGGAGCAATGGGCGGGTGTAGTCCAGCGAGGCCGCCCTGAGACGTTGACCTTGTGCAAGCTCACGCCCAAGATCACGGTAAAGCGTGCCCCGGGCCCCGGAGCAATCCGAAAGGTCGAGTGGAAGACCATGGGTGCCAAGCTTTTGTCCGGTCGCAAGATTATCTTGCATACTGACTCAGCCAAAAGCTACAAGCTCAAGCTCGACGGGGTTCTTCATGATCGGGTGGTGCGCTGCAAAAAGCAGGTCAAGGTCAATGGGAAGGCGCGCTGGGTTCAGCCCCACTATGTCCGCATCATCAAGCATAAGCTGCCCGGCGCAAAGAACAAGACAATCACAGTGAAGTCCGGCACCCAGGTCATAGACCGGTGTTGGAGATTCCTAAAGGAACGTGTGGGTGTGAATCAGCACACGAAAGCCGGTAGCTCCTTGCTGAGAGCCAAGCTGCGAAGCGCCCAGTATGAATACTGGAATCGCAGTAAGGACTTGTGGCTGGCATGCGGAGAGCTATGCTCCCATGTCATGAGAAAGTTCTTGTCGTAGGCTTCCTTCGTCCACAGGATATGGCGTCTCGGTAGTCCATATCCTCTATCCAATCCAGACCAACCGCGCTCGCAGGTAAAATTCACGCATCTGACATCGCAATAGTTCGACCACACACAATGCCATAAGATCTGAAAATGGCATCTGACATTGCAATAGTTCAACCACACACAACGCCATAAGACCTGAAAATGTAATTCTGGGAAGTTAATCTCGTGATCGTTCAACCATACACGACGCGATAAAACCTTTAAAGGTAGATTCTCCAGGGAGGGGTAGCATATATATATATATATATATATAGACATATATGTATATATATATATATACATACATACATACATACAATATATATATATATACATGTATGTATTCATAATACGGAAATATATATATATATATATGTATATATGTATATATGTATGTGTGTGTGAGGGTTCAGGTTGTCTAGCGCGGCTCGATTTGCAGAGCAGAGGCGAGCCGCCGAGCAGGACAGAGTCGCCCTGAAGAGTAAGCCCCACTGAAGCCACTCAGGGGGGTTTAGGGTTTAGGGTTTAGGGTTTAGGTTTTAGGGTTTAGGGTTTAGGGTTTAGGGTTTAGGGTTTAGGGTTTAGGGTTTAGGCCTTCAGGGCATCTGCAAACTTCATGGAAGCCAGCATCGCAGGTCGTCAAGGGCTTCCTGGGTTGAGTGTTGCAAGGGTAGCTCACCCCTAGGTGGGGGCAGCAGCACGCAAGCCTTGAGCCCCAAGCAATATTTGGTGGAGTCTGTGGTACACTTAAGATCATACTCAGGCACTCCTAAACCTAAACCCTAAACAATAAACCCCTAAACCCTAAACCCTAACCCCTAAACCCTAAACCCTAAACCCCCAAACCCTAAACCCTAAACCTCTCAGCCCATCTGGCACCGACCAGCCAGGCTCACGGTTTAGAGGTCGACAAACGTTGCGAGCCCCGAGCCGGAACCTCCAAAAGCTTGTTGGACCCAGAGTCAACTAGCCCTGTAAGCCACCAGAGGCTTGAAAGCTTCGGCAGGGTTGTAGGCAGGGTTTAGATTACTGTCATTGTTTGTTTTTTGGGTTTAGGGGTTCAACCGACCAGGTTGGAAAATAGACCACGGTCCGCGGGGAGATCGATATTGGCTCCCGCCCCTTGGCTGTTTTTTGGGGCGAAGTCGGAGCATGCCCTGCTACACCTGAGAGAAGACGGAGTCTTGACAAAACTGCACAGTATGCCTTCATAGCACCATGGTTCTATCCAGTCACCGCTTGAACTTCTATTTTGAGGTTGCGAGCCAGAAAGCCGGCGGTGCCGGCTTTCTGTTCTTCCAAAACGAGGGTGCTCCTCACTGCGCGCAACCCTAAACCCTAAACGCCAAACCCCAAACCCTATAAACCCTCTACACCCTATAAACCCGATAAACCCTATAAACCCTCCAAACCCTATAAACCCTAAACCATCTAAACCCACTGCGCTGCACTGGCGCGTGGGTCCTCGGTGTCTCCGAGGCCCGGCATCCAGCGCCGACCTCCCTGGCAAAACCGACCTCCGGCCACATAAGCCTTTGACATTTGAGATCAGGGTTAGGGTTTAGGGTTTAGGGTTTAGGGTTTAGGGTTTAGGGTTTTCTTGGGGGGTGGGCTGGGTGAATATGGTCGAGCAAACCCGACAAGGCCTCCAATGACCCCTGAGATGACCCTGCGTTTTCCCCCTGTGACTCCCTGCCGTGACATTCGGGCTTGAGGCTTTTTAGGGAGGGAGGTGGGAGTTTTTCTAGGTAGGGCTGACTCCCACTTGCAGAAAAAAGCACCACTCATGAGACTTTCGAGGGCTCTGAACCTAACCCCCTTACGTGCCTGATAATTATACTGTAGGTGGGAGCATCCCCGCACGCTTCTGTGCCCCCCTCGATCTGGCCCCTAAATCCCTGCGCAGGCATCCTACAGTTTCCATGCTGAGCCCGCTCGAGCCCTCAACCCCCACGGCACCCCACATCTCCATGCTTCTATTCTACACCCCCGAATGAGGAAAGGACTATTTCGACTCGAAACTGCAGGCACTGTTTGGGATGGGCTGAGGAATTGTGGGGGGGGGGGGGGGGGTAGAGGGTGTGAGGGAGTAGGGTCTTGGTCGTTGGCATTTGTTGGAGCTGTTTTTGAGGATCTGGTGTTGAGGACTTCGATGTTCAGGCCTTGTATGAGACGCCTGAGTGCCTCAGGCCAACATGACCTCAACACGCAAACTGCGCCCACTGCCTTAGATCCAAGGCCCCTCTCAGCACTAAGGCCTCTTCGATTCACAGAAAACCCCTCACCCTTCAAGTCAGCTTTCTTTGCTGCTGCAGATGCAGTTTCTTTTTGTTGGCTTTTGGGCGTTTACGGGGCTTTAAGGGCTCCAGGGCTTTAGAGGCTTGAGAGTCTCCAAGGAGGCTCCAGGGTTTGAGAGTTTTGACATTGGAGGATGCATCTCGATTAGGGGGCTTCAGTCTACCAGTGGGTGGTGGGCCCTCGTGCAGTTTGGGAATGACTTTGCAAGACCCTCCTAAACCCAACACCCCGAGCCATGTGCCAATCAATCAAGCGGCAAACAGCCACAGACTCACTGTGGCGCTGCATTTCATCTTCAGTGGGTCTTGTGTCCTAGGTCCTAGGTGTCTAGGATTTAGGGTTCTAGTCGGCGGACGACGCTGCGTGGTGCGGCTCATTCTGCTTATAGATGAATGCATTCTGTTCCAAGGAGCTTGGGCCAAACAAGACCCCTGAAGCCCTACTTCCGGAAAGCTTCTGCACAACCCCGGAGACCCCGATCTTGGCGAAGGTGGTGCGGCACCTGCGAGACGAGGGGAACATGGTCGTGGAGGCTGCATCTTCTTTCGGGGATGACCCCGAACCCTAAATCCCAAAGAGCCGAAGCCTCCGTAAGTGCCTCTAGTATCGGCCCATGCTCACAAGCCCGAAACCATTCGCACTGCGTCAGTGGCTTAGAAGCTGGTGCTTCGATTCCCTTCAAGCTTTGGTTCACGAGTTGTCAAAGGCTGTTACACAGAAGCTGAAAGCAAAAGGGGACGCTTTTGTGTCGCCTCGAAAGCTCAGGGCCGTTGTGTCGGACTCGGATGGTCCCTGCAAGTTTGCAGCCCGGCCACATTGACGTCGGCTGACGTCTCATAGGTCGTTTCTCGTCATGGGCTCCTGTGGGGAGACCAATGGCATGGCCCGTGGTGTAAATCGAAGACGCGACGTTTTGCAACTCGCAACACGTCAGGGCTGGCGGCAGTCTGGGTGAACATTCACGATCGGGCGACCCCATGTTCCCAAACAGATATATGCTGCCGTCAAGAAAGCGGGCACGTGCGCAGTAGACTGCGGTATCTGTCGCTGCAGCTCTTAGAACCGTCGACTTAGTGCCACGCCGTGACCTGACGG